GCGCCTTCCACTCGGTGCGTGGGAAAAGGGTCTCGAGGCGCGCGGCTGTCGCCGGGTTCAACGTTCTGCGATTTTGCCTTTAGCAAAACCAACACGATATGCAAGAAGTGCGCCCAGAACGTGAAGCAGTTTGGAACGGTGAGTAGGCTCTCGGCTCTAAACACCGAGCTCGTTCGCGTTTTAAGTTGGGAAAAAAGTTCTCTTGCAGCTGAACTTCGTGTTTGGGGGCGGGGAAGGTTACCTCTCAGAAAGTTCTCTTGCGACTAACCTTGTTCTTTCGGGGGAAAAACCCCAAAACATTATCCTTCAGAAAGGTAATGGAAATTACTGGCAGCTCTTGATTTCCTTCGCGGCTTACGGTTTCTTTTTTTCAAACTGAAGTTCAGCGTGGTTCTATGCAGCTTAACCGTTATGAATACTTGCGATATAGCTCTTCACAGCGAAAACAATGCTACTTCGCTTTATGCGTGTAAAGTTATTCTTCGCATATTCTCCTAAACGCACGCTTGATGGCAGAAAGACCGTTAGCTGTCTGTGTTTTTAATGAGTGGTAAATGTGAAAATCTAATAATACCACATACTTTATATTATGTAAGTCTTAAAAACGTTAAATGCATGTTAATCGCGTTAAGCTATTAAGTAGGAAAGATTTTATGAGTATTAGCTGTATCCACGTTACTTTGCATTTTCTCATTTCAAATTTCAGCTTCAGTTCTGTTAGAAAAATTAATTTTTTAATATATGAATACACCCATTGTATCTGAGCGCCCTGCAGACACTAGTTTATAGAAGGTATCAAGATAATCTTGTTGTGAAACAGAAGCGCGTAACTTCTATGCACTTGACATAAACCATATTAGATGAAACTCAGCTTATCTGAGAAACATAACAGCTCTTGGTATGTAGTCAGGCGTTTTGTGAATGTAAATGTAAACCGAACAAAGGATGTTCTTTCAAAAGCATAAAATGTAGCAAAATGTAGTGCGAGACAGATCCAACAATGTTTTTTATCAGTAGTTCATAAAAAAACCAGAACTGCATTGAAGATAATCAGCCATTTCTAACCTATGAAAGCTGGCAGCAGTTTTATTTTCCAGCAGTGTATTATTCTAATTGAGTGTATGATCTAAAAGTTGATAACCTGACCTCATGGTATCTGAAGTTGTTTGGGTTTGGGGTTTTTTTTCCTACGTTTCCTGCAGAATTGCAGGGATCAGGGTACTAATCTTGGAGCTGTGGGGTTATCAAATCCCTGAGTAGTGCAAGGGAGACGGATGTTTTCAGAAACTTCCAGTCTAAAAAATGACTTGATTACTTTTAAAGTTTTTAAAGTAAAAATTTCATGGAAAGTCCAGACTGGTTTTGAGCATTGAGGGAGCAGCATTTTAGGGGAAGAGTTTAGTACTGAAGATAGAAATGGTACAAAAAAGGTTCTTTAAGATAGGTTATATGAAGCCCTAGTAGTTTAGAAGCATCGTTGTGCGATTTGAAATACTTGTGTTCGTTACGAAAACTGTAAATGTATTAACTTCAGCTCAACTTACCTGTTTTTCAGCCCAAGCCCTGTCAGTATTGTAACATTATTGCAGCATTTATTGGCACAAAATGTCAGCGTTGCACCAACTCGGAGAAGAAGTACGGCCCACCTCAGACATGTGAACAGTGCAAACAGCAGTGTGCTTTTGATCGGAAAGAGGAGGGAAGAAGGAAGGTACGCTTTGTTCCACAGCTGTAATGGCTTAGGCTGACAGCAGACAAGGTTCCTCCTATGTAAGAGAGAGATTAGCAGGAATGTATCTTAAGTTCAGTAATATTAGATTAGAGTTACTGTGCCGTGCTTTACAATATTTGAATTAAACTTCACAACTTGCGGTTGTTGTGTTAGCTACTGAGCTAACTTACTTTAAACTAAACCACTCTTCTTAAAAATAAGCTTAAGCGGAAGCTGACAGTTATAGCTGGGGAACAGAGGTTAAGCAGCTGAATGGTTCCTGGTGCTTTGATTTTTTTTTTTTCCTTTTTTTCCCCCCATACATTGGATCTTATCTATGTCCATAACTCAAATCTGTTGCTTTACCTCTTCTGATTTGTCTGCCTTGCCTTAAAGTACAGCATCAGAGAGGTGGACTGCTCTGAGCAGCCCTTTGTGTTCTGTTTTCTTAAATAGCTTTGGTGAGTGCCACTTTCTCATTCCAGAAGGTGCTGAGGAAATGACCTCAAAAGCCTCTTGCCTGAACCCAAGAATAATGCTGTTTTTACAGAAGAAATTACTTGGTACAAGTAGCACGTTGGCTGGACATCTTGATTCCGCCTGGAATGCGATGGGTTGAGAGAGAGTACATGGTGTCTAAACTACGAACAATTTGTCCCTGTAAAAAGTTATTGTCACTTCTGTGGTACAGAGCGAGTCCAACATTTGCTAAGACTGCTTTCTAGCATAACTTTAAATGGCAAAAAAAAATGGTGTAAGATTCACTTTACTAAAAGTTAACATGCATAAGTTGGAGATGTGTTAGTGCTGTTTCATACCAAAGAGATGTCTGGGTTTTTCCCAAAGATAACGGATGAAGTGAAACAAATTTTTCTTGCAAATATTGAAATACATGTTTCTAGTGCAAGTATATTTGGAAAAAAACCCAAACAACCCTGCTATGCATTATTTCCCAAAAGGTTGATGGAAAGTTGTTGTGTTGGCTCTGCACACTATCCTACAAGAGAGTGCTACAGAAGACAAAAGAACAGAGGAAGAGCCTAGGATCTTCACATTCTAACTCCTCATCCTCATCTCTTACTGAGAAAGACCAGCATCATTCAAAACACCACCACCATCACCATCATCATCATCGTCACAGCAGCAGTCATCATAAGTAAGTATTTAAAAAATTGAAGTAGCTGTTGGTACCTCTTCCTCTTCTGTGTTCTGTTAGTACTGAGATCAAATCAAAGGAAATAAAAAATGCTGTTTAAAACATGGCATCAAAAGCAGTAGCAGAATGTTGTTCTTCCATGGTCTGTCAAAATCCTTGTATTCTTACAGTATGGGTGCAGGGAGGTCACCAAAAAGCAGAAATTCTTGGTGATCATCAAATTAGTCAATGTTAAAATTGGTAGCAAGTCTAGAAAAGAAATCCATGGAATGGCTACAGAAACAAGTTCCTTGGGGATAAACTTGAATTTGGCTTTCTAAGCGGTAACTGCTATTCTACATGCATTTACCATGGGTTCAAAGGTGTGTATTAGAAGTGAGCACAGAAGAGCTACTTCGCTCAGAATCTCCACCCTAACTTGCTTCATTCTGACGTGTTTGTGCACACATACTTGCAGATAAATGGAGAAGCAGAAGCAACTGTGTGGAATCACCCTCAGTCTATGACCAGTTTGTATCTCTGCTAGTTTTTATAATCAAATCTTGCTGGAATAGGCAGTTTGTGAGTGGCTGTGATGCAGACATAGGAAAATAACATTGTCAGTTCAGTTAGTGGCAGCGCTCTGGTAACATTTCAGACAGTTTTGTCGTATCCTCTGCAACTTTTCTCATTGTGCCGTCTCTGGCCGTGGCATACACAGCGTACCAACCTTAACGTACAAACCCAGTTTATTTAGTCATAAATCCCAGGACTGATTTGGCTTTTATGCTAGTATAATAGTAGTCATGATTCTTATTTCATTGGTAGGCTTATGGCAGCCTAACTTTAGAACTACTTATTTTATTTTTTGTGTTGGATAGTAAATACTAGTGCTGCAATGGTAATGACCCTGACCCCAGACACACAAACACTTCCATTCTAGGTTTCGCTTTTCTAGTGCTTATAATTTTCCATTTTGACTGAAACTTGCCTGACTAAATGTGACTTAAAGATAGAAGGAAAATAAGCTGGAATGATATTGGGAATGAGGAGAAGAGAAATGCACTTACTTTCACTTAAAAAAAAGAGAAAAATAAGATTTGTTTTTTTAGGAATTCGAAGAAGAATATTATTCTTGTCATGCTGAGAGTTATTGTACTATTCCTGTTCTTTCAAATCTCTGCTGAAAATTGAGTTACAACAAGCTAAATCTAATTTAATGCGTGTGGCAGAGATACAGTAAGGATTAAATAAAAAAAAAATGTTAGCTCTTTACTACAGAGTAGAGCTTCTAATATACTCAAGAGTTATAAAAGTAAGCATATCTCTATATGGATCACAGTGTTCCTGGTTTGGCGCCTTTTTTCTGTAGGCTGCCATGGGTCCATTGCTTCTGGTCCAATAAATATGACTTTTTTTTCCCTGTCCATTTCAGTTATTGTTAAGATGAGTCAATAGAGACAGTGAGGTAGAAATATAGATTCATTGAACTATTTCATTCAGTGCAATCTTTGAAATGCTACCCTTATACCATATCAATGGTATTTATTAGTTGCTTTTGAAATTATTGAAAACAAATGTTTAGACCTGAGAAGCAGTTATTTTCAGGAATCCAAAACTTAACTTTGCTCTTATGCTGCCACATAAGCACCACTTCACATAGCTTTCATATGGCAGTATGGGAATCCCAGGAATGCTGCTTTAGACCAGCTTGCTGAGTACAAGATTAGCAATATAAAGTTCGCAAAAATTGGGAGGTACCAGCAAAAAGGTTTAGCCATCAGTCTTGAAGTCTACCCCTTGTGTCTTAGAATAGTGGAAACATTTAGCCAATAAATATTTTTATAGCATCCTGACATGGTAAAAGTGGTCATGAATATGACAGATCATATGACTGTCTAGCTGAAAATTCATAATTGTTAACTATCTTTAGTAAAAAAAAAAAAAAAGGTGGGGTGTGGCTTTTTCTCAAGTACGGATAACATTCACATAAACTTAGAAATAATGGCATGTTTGGTCAGTTACCAAGTACATTTCACATATTTCAGAATCAGCAATCTGAGTCCAGAACAAGATCAGGGACTATGGAAACAGAGGTAAATATGATATTATTTATTAATTTCCTTTTAATTTATCTTGCAGTTTTCATTTAAAGGACTTCTTTTCTTGCATTTCTGGCTAGTCTCTAGCATTCCAGTTAGGAGCATGAGTTAGTTATTTTACATGTACCAAATGGTGATATTAGAGAGTTATATAGTATGAGGCTTTAGGTTTACATTTTGTTTGATTTCAGCCATAAATCCTCTGCAGCTATTCAGAATGAAACTCCAAAGAAAAAACCCAAACTGGAATCCAAGCCATCAAATGGAGATAGGTAAAGTTATATTTTTGTAAAGCTGAGCCATTTCAACCAAATAGAGCACTGATTTGTGGCCATTTTTTTTTTTTTTTTTTTTTTTTTTTTTTTTTTTTTTTTGTCTGAAGAATGAGGGAGGTAAAACTATTGTCCAGCCAGACAGATTGTTGGGTAGCATCTGAGTGCTGTCAGTCAACTAAATGACTTTATTAGCAGAAAACTGGCACTGTTTTCCTGCTTTTAAGCTGCTTGGGGCAAAATTAAATAAAGCTTATGTGCGAGGCAACAGTTATCAATGAAACAGTATTCCCTGACATTGGTGGTTTGTTGATTAGACGCAGGGTTGAACCTGCTGCTTTAAGCTGACGTAGTGTATAGAGAAGTCTTTTGGACCTTAATGTGTGAGATTGAATCTCTATTCTGTCTCTGGCCAAACAGTTGGAATAAAAAGAAAAGTGGCTGCTTCAGTCAAAAGGTATTTGTCCCCCTCAAAGCTAATACTTAATTATATTTCTGCAGGTGTATGTAATGTGTGCCATTAGTAAGGTAATTTGCCAGTTGCATCCATTTCTGTCAGGTACATACTTTTTTTGCATTAGTCCTTAAGGATGTTTGTAGAAATATTAATTACCCAATTTGAAATTTAAAAAAAACTACTGTTTTTTTCTATTGATGTTGTGAGTAACTATTGTTTTTTTACTTTTAGTAGCTCTATAAATCAGTCAGCAGACAGTGGAGGAACTGACAACTTCGTCCTCATAAGTCAGCTGAAAGAAGAAGTAATGTCACTTAAACGTCTTCTGCAGCAAAGGGATCAGACTATTTTAGAAAAAGATAAAAAGGTAAAAATTGCATCTGCTTAATAAGAACTTTATCATTTTTTTTCTATTTTGTAGACTCCTAACAATGTCAAAATGGTGAGATAAAACAAAAATCAGATACAATTTTTTTACATAGCAACTAATCAGATCTTACCGTTTAAAGGACAAGTTTGGGACTTTTGTATCATGAATATATTTTGGCTCTAAGTCAAAAAGGAATTAATCTTACCTCACTTCAGCCATCTAGAAGACAGCCATCTAGAAGCTAGCCATCTGGTTCACTGTTGCTCAGGCTGCGTGCCACAGGTGATGGATAAAATGTCAGACAGTGGTTTGTATGTTTTATATATGCTAAACTAAGTCATGCCAAAAATCCCAGATACCTACATAGGTTGATGGGCACACAAGATAAGAGGAGGATTAAGAGTAGTAACCATTCTGAGTTTATGTGTACAGTGTTTGACAATGAAGTGTTTTGACTTTAAAAGATTGGTAGCATATGTGTAGTGTAGGTTATCAAGTCTTTGTGGATGGTCAGAAACTAGGAGAAAAGCTTGGATTAGATGCCTGGCAGTCAACAAAAGTTAAGCGAAATACTCAGCCCCAAATGGCTGCAGTGAAATCATACAAAATACTCACCCTTCAAACAATCTAATGACAAGCAAGAGAAAGAACTACAAATATGTACTTTGCCTTTATGAGAGCTTATTTCTCTGCCGTCTGATGAACTATGTGCTTTTAAGACACTGTCTGTAACAGTGGCTCTAGAATGTTTGTTCAGGATTGAGTAGGTTGTGGAATTGTATTAGAAATAAATTTACTGTATTTTCAAGTAAAATTTTGAGTATAGATGCATTGTGTCCATCAAAACATTGATGGTTAAGAAAGGCTTATTGATCCCGAAAGGAAAATATTTCCACTTTTAAACCATAGTTCAGTATCTTCATTTCTACACTTAAATGTGTTGTGTAAAGGATAATGAACATTTTTTTTGTTTATATCACTGTTATAGTATACCTAGTGTTGGAAGTACTTGCTATTTCAAGGCTTTAAGCGGTTAATGTGAAAGAGCTGAACAGTCTGTCATGGATTCTCTTTAGGTATTTTCTTCAAAGGACAGACATTAAGGCCCTGATCTCTCTCTTATGAAGCCAGTAGAAGATCATGAGTCAGTAGGAAGTTCACTTATCTCTTTTTATATTTGATCTACTGGGCAAAGCTAACAAAAGGGTTAGGTAAGGAAATGTCACCTACTTCTGCATAACCACTGCAGTAACTTGTTTTGTGCTGTTTCCATAGGGAGAGCATCTACTAATTTTAATATCCCCACTGCTAAAACTATTTATTTGACCTCAGAGCTCTTTGAACTTAAAGGATCCTTCAGGCATGAATTATTTACTTTCTTCAGCTGCTGCGGGGGGGAGAAAAGCTGAACCTATCGTACAATGTTTCCATAGCTGAAAAATTTACAACAAATGAATGTACTGCAGATTTTTTTTGTCGGCGAGATAGTAAATGTAAAAATATGTAGTGGGATAAAAACCTGAGCCAGACCTGTGTGAGATTCCTGTTAATATTTTGTCCCAAGATTTGTGTAGGGACAACATTTGAACAGTTTGCAGTGCTCCAAAAGAAAAACCTCTAAAATATATAATGTATGGCAAGAAAAACAACTCAGTACACCAGCTTTACAGACAATCCTCATCATTTTTTGTTACGAGTCAAGATCTCAGCCATATCATTACCAGTGCTTATTGTTTGCAGTACTAGCCTTGTTTTGCTTTCTGGACAAAATGTTAGTGAGACACCAAGACGTTACTGTGGGGCCCTGAGACTTGATCATTAGGAAGGGACCACACTTCACTGAATGTTCACAGGTAGTGTGTTTGCTCATCTCATCTAGTTGCATATTTTACTATGGTGCAATACTACCACTAGTTTTTTGGTATTTAGTTTGTGGTATGTGGTTTTGTACTGGATCCCCTGGAATTTGCAACAGCCGTAAGTACATACCTTGAGCAACAGTCTGTGTACAGTGAGGTATATATCCTTGTATCAAGATACCTGCACTTTATTTAGGACCATTTGACTGACAGTTCTTTTGAATACCTTGTTTCACTACATGCGATTTTACACATCTAAGGTTGATAATAGCAGTCTTGGTAGTCGTTTTTGGAATGTATGCTGTGGTTTGTTATAGTGGGCTCCCTTGCTAGCAAAGGCGCTCCATTTCCTGGTAAATCCAAATTGACCAGAGAGGTTCAAAATAGCTTGGTGAATCTGAGATGCTTTCTGGAACTAAACTTTTTTTAAGAAGTGGTTCCTAAAATTTCTGGGTCCATATACAACAAACTGTTAGTAGTTCACCCAGCTGCACATGTTTCCAGAAGAAGTGTTCAGCTGCTTGGATAGAAGCATGTATCACAGTTTAGAAACACCTGCCTTACTGTATGTTATCTGGATCTCTGCCTGTCTCAGGAGAGACCCAGTGGCAGCAATACTACACCATACACTCAGAATTAAATCCTAAGTTAAATTGTTTTAATTACACATTTCTGATAACACTGTTGAATTCACTGTTGTTGTGGATCGAAAAGCAATGAAACTCTGGAACATATACTTCTGTTTAGGACAAATTGTAGCATAAAAGGACACAAAGGAATCCTTTCTGGTTTGGTATGGAAGATTTTTCACGTGTTACCATACCATATAACTGAAGAGATGTAACTGAAGATTGTGATAAGGATCTCACAGCTGAAAGAACAGCTAAGATTATAAATCATTAGTCTTGCATTTGAATTTTTTTTTGTTGAGGATTAACCTTCTTTATACCAAATCCTGAGCAAACTATGGTTATATAAGTAGAATTGTTTTCTTCATATAAAATAGACATACTTACTTTTCCAAGCTACTTCTGAAGTACTGAGCTGTCAGTACTACAATAGTAAATAAATAACAGTGTTTCCTGAGATTCCTGAGGCTTGCATAAAGATTTCACAGATTGATTAGAAGATGTATACTGTAGCAGTCCAGGGAATCTCCATAGAATTTGTGTTTTTAGTTGACAGAACTGAAGGCAGACTTCCAGTACCAGGAGTCTAACTTGAGGACAAAGATGAACAGTATGGAGAAAGCTCACAAGGAAACTGTGGAACAGTTGCAGGTGAGTAATTGCTTATCAATACTTGAGAAATACTTCAGATGGAATTATACATTCAGGCTGTTCACTCATGGCAATGAAATAGTACCAAGTTCTTGGATGGTGCTTTCTAACTTTGAGATAGACGCTTACCTTGCGTGCTTTCTCAAAGGTTATGTTATTTTTTGTCTGTTCTCTGATATTTGATCAGTTGTCAGCATGCTATTGATCTGATTTAAGGGCTCAGCGTTAACACAATTGACAGTTAAATGTCTCTTGTTAAAGCATACTTTATCAGGAAAAAAGCCTGAATTTAGTTGCCTTCTAAATCACAGACTGAACAGATACTTGGTGCAACACCTCAAATACTAAATTTTGCAATACAGGAAATGTGGCTACCTTTTTCTGTTAAAGATGGAACATGCATATCAAAAAGCATGTACAAATCTTTGAAAAGTGCTGATATTCTCAGCATGGTCATTTTGGGAATTTGTTTCGTAAATGCAATGGGAAATTAGTGCATGAAACTACTGAGACATTTCAGTAATTCATAAAACTTTTTTTATCTGTATTGCAGGCCAAAAACAGAGAACTACTCAAACAGGTTGCAGCGTTGTCAAAGGGTAAAAAGTTTGATAAAAGTGGGAGTATACTAACATCTCCTTGAGGAACTGGCTATTGATGGGGTTTGCTACTCAGTGTAAATTTGAGTGATTCTGTGAAGCCCTTAAAATCCTGTGTAGTGGAAAAAAATATTTTTGCACACCAGATTAGTTGGCATGTTTCCTACACGTTTTTATAATTAATATGCAGCTTTTTTTAGTTACTGTTCAGATGAAATACTTCAACTGGCTTGAAGAATGTTTTTATTTTTTTGATATTGGAAACTTTTTGCCAGCAATAGTATTAAACAATTGCATAGAGAACATAGCAGTGCTCTCTCTAAAAGGACAACATGCAATAACAAACTAGGTGTACTTTTTGCAAAGCAGCAACTGAGTCTTTTCAACTACACTGATGTCAGCCAAAAGTTCATGAAACTGCAGTGACACTGAACACTGGTTTCTGGCAACTGTTCTTTTACTTTGTATCAAAATATAAATTTAGAATGGAAATCATGGTGCTCTCAAGTGAAATTAAAAAAAGGCATATATGTATGTGTAAATACAACTGTAACGGTTATATTCTTAGTTATAACAAGTAATTAGTGTTTTACATTCTTGTGATAGGGATTTACCGAAAGATTATCTATTGTACAGTAACAGAGGCAGTGTGGTTTTTGTAAGATTTACTGTAGATTTTTCTTGCAAGTGCCTTTCTCCAACTGTTTATTTATAGGAATGTTGGTATTTTGTACATAAGGTTTTTATGTTTTAAAATCATGTTTAATAAATGTTTTATGTAAATATAAATGTGTGTACAGAGGAGTCTGAAACAAAGATCGAAGTGGCTAGTGCAGTGCTTGAAGCAGCATTAAGAGCTAGCCAATTGATGGACAGTGAGTATTGGCTTTAGATAACCTTTGTAGCTTGTGTCTGTGAGGTGTAGAATTTTGTTAGTGCTGCTCATGCCAAACACTTCCTGAACAAAAAAACAAAATGTTTTTTGCCACACTGGAGTTTAGTGGTTTGTTCATATATTTTTCCCGTTTGGCACAGCGCTAATTTTAATTCCATAGCAGACATTGTACTCCCAATGTTACATCCTTAATTAGTGATATACACTCAAAGTTTTAAAAAAATTTATTCCCATTGTCTGATTTAATGTACTTAGTTGTAACTTATGGTGGTTCTTCTTAATGAATTGCAAGGTTCTCATCCCCCAGTTAAGGTACACAATGAGAAAAGAGTAGCCAAAACTGATGGTCTTGAAATTAATTAAGGGAGTGGATGTGGTGTCAAAGGGTGGGTTGTTTTAATGTTTTGGGTAGATTTTGATTCTAAATTACATCAGTTTAAGTTTAGCTCTGCTCCTAATGGACATGTCATATTCAGAAATTTCAGCTAGACATTAATTTAGTATACCCCAAGGTCTCTGTTCAGGAAGGTGAGTTACGAATCAGCATAAAGTGAAGTAGACTTACGTAAGTAAAGGTTTAGTTCAGCTCTGAGTACGGATTGGTAACAGGGTAACTGCTTATATTTCAGTAAGCTTAATCATGTAGAATAAGCTACACACCTTTTAATTAACTAAAATCTGAAGTTCCTTGGCTGTCCACCCATGTACTGAACTATGAACACCTTTTCAGTAGTTCAGACAAGTTCCAGCAGTAACAGACTACTGAATAATTTGAAAAAATCATGCTATCTTTTTTCATATGGTATACGTGTATTTTTATAAACTAAAATCAATTTTGTATGTTTATAAATGTTCTTCTTTAAACTTGCTAAACTAGGGTAGAGAATGCTGCTATCCTTTGGGGGGTGTTGTTATTTTTTTTAATATACAAATTTATGACTTTCTTTAATTCAGATTTAGTATTTTGATAATATTTTTTTTTCCAGTTGAGTGGTGACCCATGTTTGGTGAAATTGGTTTTAAAACACAGAAATGCATAGCAAATTGGAATGTTTGAATTAAGGTCACTTAATGATACCTGTTCAAACTGCAGTAAGGACAATTTAAAGGAACAAACTGAAGTTCTATATTAGAAGTAATTGACTTTATAAATCCCAGTCTGAAAAATTTTTAGGGGCTTCACAGTGTTTTGTTCTAATTAAATACCTGTGGGTTTTCTTCCATAATCTCATTTTTAACATGAATTTTTTTAAAGTTCTAAACTAGCCAACTGAATCCCAGTCCTGAAAATAGTGTCCTGGAGCTGTAGATTATTGACATAATAAACTGATGTTCTTTAAACGTGGATCTGCAAGGAGATTGTTGTGCTGTATTGTGCTTTATAGCCTGTTTCCAGATGTTGATTAGCATTGAACAGTAATGGCCATTTTGGCTCAAGTTATTTATGTATTTTAAGCCTGTGAATATTGCAGCCCCCTTTTAGATAGTATGTCTAAATATGCGTTCTGCAGTGAAGCTATTCAGCTGTCCACATGTATAGACTATTGAAATACTGTACTGGCACACATCTGACCGTTGACATTTTGTACCTTTTCTAAATCCAATGTTTCACAATAAAATCTTGTCAAAACATTAATCTGTCCTTTTAAAATTATTCAGAAATGCCTATTTCATGTTAATCCTTTACACTATGTCACTCACTAAAAGCCTGTGGCCAAAAAAAAGGCAGAATTTAATATTTACATTTAGTATTTAGATTTCTGGGAAGATTAGACACCTGGGGCAGTCTACAAATTGTAACAAATGAGAACTTCAGATTAATTTCTCTCAAGAAAATATTTTGGGTTTCTGCAACAGGATTATAATACATAGAAATATTTTCTCATAGAGAAGAAGAAAAAAAAACCTTAAGGTTTGCCATCTAGTGACATTTAATAAAGGCTTCAACAGTCTTTTTATATTCTGATTGAAATCGGCACTTGTGTTTAAAAGTACCTGAATTTCAGTCTTGGTCTGTTAACCGTAAGATTGTTCTTCCTTTGTATACATTGTGTACAAGTTAGGCGATTCTGAGATTCGAAGTGACCTTATTAATTTCTACGTCCGTTCCCTATCTTGTGTCGGGAGGAGTTAGGTGCCCACACCAGCATGCTGCCAGCTGTCAGTCACGGTGGCTTCTAGTGTTTAGAGCACTTGTGCTGCAATTTGTAGATCTCATTTTATGTTTTTCTCAGCAATCAATCTTCATCTTTCCGCAATCCAGCAGAATTCTTCTCATTTAAGAATTAAAGTTCAGAATGAAAAAAAAAACCAAACCCACCCCCCCCCAAACCAACAAGAGAGTAAGATTCTGTAGCTTTCTGATCAAGGCAATTATCTAGAAGGGGAATCTTTGAGTTTCAGAGCTCCGCTCTTAAAACAGTGTATATTTTATGTTAGGTATAGCAATGAATAATATGCTATTCTAATATTGAATTGCTCTTGGCCTCATTTTAACGCAAATTTGCAGTGGCCTTGTTGAAGTCATGTATTTTTAAAGCCGAGAGCAAGTCAAACCCATGTGTGGTACCTAATTTAGACACGGCTTCCATGTGACACATGCAAAACGAGTACAACTGGCCGTGTGTCATGGTTTAACCCCCGCTGGCAACCAAGCACCGTGCAGCCGCTCAGTCACTTCCCCCCACCCGGTGGGGTGGGGGAGAGAAGCAGAAGGGTAAAAGTGAGAAAACTCGTGGGCTGAGATAAAGACAGTTTAACAGGTAAAGCAAAAGTCGCGCACACAAGCAAAGCAAAACCAGGAATTCATTCCCCACTTCCCCTGGGCAGGGAGGTGTTCAGCCATCTCCAGGACAGCAGGGCTCCATCGTGTGTAACCGCTACTTGGGAAGATGAACGCTGTCACTCTGAATGTCCCCCTGCCTCCTTCTTCCCCCAGCTTTATATGCCGAGCATGATGTCCTATAGTCTGGGTGGCGTT